GGAGCCTGGCTCTCGCCAGTAGAGCCACGCTGGAGGTGTGGAGCCTGGCTCTCACCGATTGAGCCACGCTGGAGGTGTGGAGCCTGGCTCTCACATTGAGCCACGCTGGAGGTGTGGAGCCTGGCTCTCACCGATTGAGCCACGCTGGGGTGTGTGGAGCCTGGCTCTCCCAATAGAGCCACGCTGGAGGTGTGGAGCCTGGCTCTCGCCATAGAGCCACGCTGGTGTGGAGCCTGGCTCTCGCCAGTAGCCACGCTGGAGGTGTGGAGCCTGGCTCTCCCGATTGAGCCACGCTGGAGGTGTGGAGCCTGGCTCTCACTTGAGCCACGCTGGAGGTGTGGAGCCTGGCTCTCACCGATTGAGCCACGCTGGAGGTGTGGAGCCTGGCTCTCACCGATTGAGCCACGCTGGGGTGTGGAGCCTGGCTCTCACCGATTGAGCCACGCTGGTGTGGAGCCTGGCTCTCCCAGAGCCACGCTGGGGTGTGGAGCCTGGCTCTCACCGATTGAGCCACGCTGGAGGTGTGGAGCCTGGCTCTCACCGATTGAGCCACGCTGGGGTGTGGAGCCTGGCTCTCACCGATTGAGCCACGCTGGGGGTGGAGCCTGGCTCTCACCGATTGAGCCACGCTGGGGGTGTGGAGCCTGGCTCTCACCGATTGAGCCACGCTGGGGTGTGGAGCCTGGCTCTCACCGATTGAGCCACGCTGGGGTGTGGAGCCTGGCTCTCACCGATTGAGCCACGCTGGGGGTGTGGAGCCTGGCTCTCACCGATTGAGCCAGGCTCCCGCGTCCTCGCGTGGGAATCGGCGTGAAAGATTTCGATGCTAAATGAACTGACCTGAGCTGTTGTGCGGTTAAAACAAGCCAGCTCAGGTCACGCCATGCAGGCTTTCGCGGTTAGGGGCATGGCCAAGGGGAGGCTAAGGGACCGTGCTCCCACCTCTGCCCTAAATGGAAGGCTTACACAAGATCCTGGGCAGATTTCGCAGGCATTGTATCCGGATTTGCAGAATTTGAGACAATTTTATTTGCCTAGATTTCCTAAATTTAGTCCACTCGTTGCCCATGGTCTGTGCACACACCAACCAACTACGCATTTTTGAAAACCTATTTCCAAATTATGGGAGAGTCTCAGGACAGTTTATACGCCCGAACACACCCCGCGTTCATAGTTGCAAAAACAGTGTGAGCTAAGCTGCTGATGACTAAACAAAGCATAAACGAGCATTTTAAGTATGCCTGGAAGCATCAACCCGACGTTTGATAAACGTCTCACACACACCCGTACCGTGCCCATAACTTTCTCAAAATCTGTACCGTCTGTACCCAGCCCGCTGGCCATTCCACATGGGCACCAATGAATTTACCCAACCGGCTAAGTCCTTTTCTGCACCGCAGTCCGGCAGGGAGTCCTGCATTTAGGTCGAAAGTGCATTGCGGTCCAAAGACAGGTTGCTTAGTTGTTGCTTCATTTCGACCTTAGTTTATTATTCAGGGCAATTTCTCTTACTGGGAACTTTTGTATTGTCTGTGATCTAGCCAACGTTTCGAACCTTGTACGCAGAAACGACAGCACATGTGTCTTAAGTTGACGGAGGTCAAGATGTTGGCCACGTGTCACGTTTGTTTAGTTAAGTGATGCCACCGGAGCCGCTTGCCACTGGCGCGTGGCTTCACAATGACGGCACCGTGCCTCCTCCACAACCAGTCTGAGAGGCAACGAGACCAATCGCCGCCACGGTTAGATGCGTTCACGAGTCTAGCGCCTATCATACACGCGCGCGCACGTGCACCTTCCGCGGACACACGGCGGAGGGTGCACTGCGGACAGACGCACGTGCAGCTCACAGCAGCAGCGCCCGATGCTCCAGTAACGCCTGCCGGACTCGGTTACAGCATTCACAACGTGTCGACGCTGCAGTTCGGGTCGGCGGCTGACCTGAGATCGGGAGAGCCGCGCGAGTGGGCCTACACAGAGCGGGCCAACGGCGACTACCGCTACTA